CTTTAGTTCTCTCTCTCTCTCTCTCTCTCTCTCTCTCTCTCTCTCGCTCTCTCTCTCTCTCTCTCTACATATATATATTGGTTCTTCCTTGAGCATGGAATGTTAGTTTTACTTCTTGGGTAAATGTTTTCTACCAAATGTCTACAGGCGTGTATTAGTTTGCGCAGGTTGCTGTAACAAAATACGGCAGCCTGGGAAACTTAAACAACAGAAATTCATTCTCTCACAAAGATCAAGGTGTTGACTTGTAAGTGGCCACTTTATCCTTGCGTTTTCATATCATTTCTTCTCTGTGTCTAAATTTTCAATTTTTCTATGGGTGCCTGTCATCTTGGATTAAGGTCCACCCTGATAACCTCATTTGACCTTAACTGAATCTTCAAATGCCTCATCTCCAAATACTGTCACATTTTTAAGTAACAGCCGTTAAGACTTCAACATATGAATTGATGGGAATGGAGAGGACATAGCTTTAGAGTCCTAAAAAAAGTTTCACGGAAAAATTCTTTCTTCAAAAGCCTTCCCACCACCCAGTGAGGTTGTGAGCCGTCTCTGTTACTCACGGAAGACAAGTACAGAGGAGAGGATGGGAAGATGAACAAGGAAGAGAGAGGAGATGAGAAAGAAACAGACATCATTTAAGAAATTATCAATGACAGCTGAAATTTTCAAGCTAGTGATTGTGTTAAGGAAAGATGATACAGAATGTATAAAATTTTAAGTGCTATACATTAAAGGTACATAGGGCTCCTGGTTATTTTACATTCTTAAATGCAGCTGCCAGGAAAGGTTTTTTTTCTGTTTGTTTGTTTTTTTGAGACAGGGTCTCACTATGTAGTTCAGACTGACCTGGAACTCGCTATGTAGCCCAGGCTGGTCTCGAACTCACAGCGATTCTCCTGCCTCAGCCTCCCAAGTGCTGGGATTACAGGCATGCGCCATCACGCCCGGCTCCAGGAAAGGTTTAATCAAAGACTACTGTTCCCTGAATTTATACATCGAAAGCCAGCATTATGCTAAGCACCTGCTCACCATACTTTGGCAGGAAAATGTATTCAGTTAATTTAATAGTAAACTAAAATGCAACTGAGCATCTACCACAGCTGAATGATATTGTGCTCCCAAAAAAGGCTTGGATTTAAACACCAGTGCATTACCTTTGAACAAAATCTACTCCACCCTCCAGACTGTAGCGGGAATCAATGAATCATTTTAGTTCATTTCCACAGTAACATGAACCACACCAGGTTCATTTGGTTTTAATCTTGGTGTAATCGGCAATTTTACAGCCAGTCTTTATTATAATTTAGCAGCAATTAATGTGCGATTATACCTGTTTCCGAAAATTGAAAGCACATTATATAGATGGAAATTGGCTTTTCTGCTTCTTAGTTTATGGCTGGTTTTAGGATGTTTTACTGAAAGAAGCAATTACCAAAATGGTACTTTTAATTGTTAATGAAATGTTTATCTTTCTTTTTTCCTGTGTCAATTTCTACATTTGAGCAAGGTTAATAAGAAAGACATTAAGCCTGACATGGTGGTGCACACCTGTATTCCTAGCACTTGTGAGGCTGAGGCAGGAGGATCATTATGAGTTCAAAGCCAGCCTAGGCTACACAGTGAGCTCAAGGCCAGTCTGAACTACATAGTGAGTCTCTGTCTCAAAAAAACAGACGTTAAATTAGACAGACAAGCCTTAGTAAATATTCCAAGAGGCAGCTTAAAACTCTCAGCATGTCCAAAGCAGAATGCATCTTTCCACGGGGACCTTAGATCCCTGTGCACTGAGAGGACAGAAGGGCACACACCGCAGCAAGATAGGATATCTCCATGTCCCTTTTCACAGCACTCAACAGTCTTTCAAGGAGACTCCGAAGCTTGTATTTCCTCTTTCTTTTCACTCTGTGTAATAAGTATGGGTCCACATCAGAATTATAGCCTGCATACTCTTGTTTGAAATCTACTTTAACATCCAGAAGAACAAACTGTGTGTTGTCTATGCAAGTGAACATCATTCATGTGCCCAGGATCACCTAGGAATGTCCTCTTAGTCCAGCTACCGTGGCTCTGTGTAATATTGCTTTAAATGTACACACTCTCGTGTGCACTGCCAGCACTGGTTTAGTTTCCTTGACGTCCACATTTCCTAAAAGTCATAGAGATAAAGGACAAGTGTTATTTTTTTCATTTCATGAAAAAATAAAACAAAATATCCTAACCAAGTAATGAAACAGAAGTTATTACACTGTGTATTGCTATCCCTGAGTGCTCAGTACAAGACATAAACCAAAAGGATTTTTAGAAAAAAAAAACCGATAATACAAACTTTATTTTCAACAAACTAAAATAAACTAATAGCATCAATGAAGCAGAAAAGAAAGATAAACTTGAGGCATTTGAGATAAATGGATGCAACTGGAGGACATAATGTTAAGTGACATGCTTAAGTCAGACACACAAGCTCCAATATCCCATGGTCTCTTTCATATGAGAAATTGT